AACTGGTCCAACCCCTCACTCATGCTCCTGAGAATACTTCCCAATTATCCAGCCTCACCCAACCATTTTTGTGCTCTCCTTTCAGGGAAACCTAAACTAAGATAAGACCCTACCACATGCCAGTCACTAGGGAAGCCACAGTGAACAGAGACAAAACATCCCTTCTCTCATGGAGTTTGTGTTCTAGAAGAAGAGGCAGGCATTAAAAGATTTAGAAGTAAAATAAGTAATATGTTAGATTGTGTTACATATTGCACAGGAGAAAATTATAGAAATTTGGGTGGGAAGATTGTAATTTTAGATAGAGTGTCCTAGAAAGACTTATTGAAAAGATAGAATTTGAGTAAAGACCTGAAGGAAGTTAGGGAGAAAGTAATACAAATACTTGAGGGAAGATTAACCCAAGCAGAAGGAACAGAAATCTGAGTCAGCCTGCATAACCGAAGCAAAATGAGGGGGAGATTAGAGGGGGAGAGTAGCAGGACAGGAAAACATACCGACAGCAGGGGTGAGATCACAGGGGAGCTTATAACAGTGCCAACAGGGGCCAGATCACATGAGGGCTTGTAATTTATTATAAAGGTTGGGCTTTACATTGAGTGGGATTGAAAAGCCATTGGAGGGTTTCAAACAGGATTAAATTGATCTGAATTCTTTTTTAACAGGCTCACTATGGCTGCAGTCGGGAGAATGAACTGAAGAGGGGCAGGGGCAGAGTAAGAAGCCAAGCCAGAGGTTTTTGCAAGAATCCCAGAGAGACAAGGGGGTTTGTGCCAGGTGGAGAGAGTGGAGTTGGTGAGGAACAATAAGATCCTGGACATGTTTTTGAAAGTAGAGCAAACGTTATTTATGAATGGATTGGGTGTGGGGTGTGAAATAAAGAGGAGTTAAGGATCGAGATTCTATACGAGGAATCACACAGCTGGGTTTACACATTAGAGCGTTCCCTCCAGTGGGCACCCCTGATAATAGGCTATTTGCCCATTTGAAAGGTGGTTGACTCCTGAGGGGAAAACTCTGATTTAGAGAATTAAATAAATCTCCTAGAGGAAGAATCCTTAAAAAAATACAGTCGCTCTTGTCTACCATAAACAAAGAGTCAACTAGGTATTCCCTCCACAAAAATGATTCATTTGGGGAGAAGGAAGGATTGCAATCTGGTACAAGCAGAGGACATTTACAAAGAGACAGCAAGGAGAAAGCAGTTCTTTTACTGAGGGGAAGGGGAAGTTAAGGGGAGGGGCCGCTTTAACCATAGAGCTCTGTTGCAAACCTGGTGTTTTTCCTGTAGGGCTTTTGTCACCCACATAGGATGTGAGAGCTCCTCCCATAGGGTCTCAGGATTCCTGCCTTCACTAATGTCTCTGTCATCAATTTTGACACACTTTTGCCTGTATCCATTGGGCAGTTGTGAAAGCCCCATGCCCTCAACTTCCTGTTGCATTCCCAGACTTGTTCCCTTATTAGAAGCATCGTGTTGTCAATTGTATAGTCAAAGAACAGCATCTGGCCTCTGCCCTGTGACTTCCTGATTCTCTTCTTCTTATAAATACAAGGGCAGAGCTGGGGTCCCAGGCAGTCCGGGAGCAGAGAGCCCAGGAGTCCTCGGGCCAGCACTGCCTGCACACCTGGAAGATGAAGATCTCCGAAGCTGCCCTCTCCTTCCTCATCCTGGCTGCTGCCCTCGGATCCCCGGCCCATGGATCCCTGTCCCATCAACTTCAGGACTCTGGCTCCCATAGCCTAGGTGAGTGCAGTGAGCCTTCTCACTGGTGGCTCATGCGATGGTAACTTGCAGTTGGGTGGGGAGGCACAGAGGGACCCCCTCTGTTCTCCTGCGACATGGAGGTGAATTTGGCACCTGTTTAAAAGCAGCAGCAGTAAGGTATAGACCTCTCTCTCTGCAGCCTTTGGTCCCTGGGGAAAACTGTATACAGATGGCTTGGGAAACAGTTCTCCCTTTTCATGGCCAGAATTATTTCATATCTTCTCTTAGCTGATACAGGGCCATTATGTGCTAGATCAAAAAAAATGTGGTAAAATTGTAAATGTGAAGCAGCATAGAATCTTACGACGTTAGAACTATTATATCCCATGCAGTGTAAAACTATCATTTTGAAGAGGAAATGGGACAAGCTGGGCAAGTGGCTCACCAAGTCTACCTAACCATTCTATTTATTTATTTAACAAATAATATCTAGTGCTGCCCATGTACAAGCAGGCACTGTTCTAATTATCTAATAGATTTTAACACACTGAATCCTCCTAACAACCCTGTGGAATAGACTAGCAGCAACTTGCATAGTTTTGCATATTATTACTATTCTCATTTGACAAATGAGAAAGCTGAGGCACAGAAGACTTAGATAACTTGCTCAATATCACACAGCCAGTAAGTGGTGGAGTTAGGGTATGAGCTAGTTAGGAAACTGTTCTAGAAAAACAAGTCCATTTAAGACTTGATTTTCCAAGCCCCACACACATCATATCAAGCATATTGACATGTACGCACATACCTCATTAGATATAATTTACAGGTAGCTATATAAGAAATGATCTAAAGGTTTAGTTGTGTTTGCCTAATTAGCATAATGCAGATCTACAATCCCTTACCCAAAACATTGGAGGCTAGATATATTTTGAAATGCAGAATCTTTCAGGTTTTAGAAAGGTAACACAATATGATCCAGCAATTCCATTTCTGGGTATATACCCAAAAGAACTGAAAGCAGGAATATGAAGAGACATCCATGCTAATAGCAGCATTATTCATATAGCCAAAAGGTGAAAGCAACCCAAGTGTCCATCAACAAAGGAATAGATTTTTAAAATGGTGTATATACATACAATGGAATATCATTCAGCCTTAAAAGGACAGAAATTCAGACACATGCTACAACATGTATGAACATTGAAGAGAGGTCTGTCTATACCTCACATTATGATAAATGAGAAAAGCCAGTAACAAGAAGATAAATACTGTATGATTCCACTGATATGAGGTACTTAAAGTAGGCAAATTCAGAGACATAAAGTAGAATGGTGGTGGCCGGTGGGTTGGGGGAGGGGGGAATGGGGAGCTATTGTTTAATGGGTACAGAGTTTCAGTTTTGCAAGATGAAAAAAGTTCTGGAGTTAGGCTGTGGTTATGGCTGTGCAATATGTGAATGTCCTAACCTATACCTTTGAAATGGTTAAAATTCGACCAGTTTGGTCTAAAATACAAATCTTCTGTTCTTCCTCTGAACCTAATAGCATTTTTAAAAATATATCTTCATTGATTTCAGAGAGAGGAAGGGAGAGGGAGAGAGAAATAGAAACATCAATGATAAGAGAGTCATTAATCATCTGCCCCCCACTGGGGATGGAGCCCCCAACCCAGTCACGTGCCCTGATCTCCTGGATCATAGGTCTATGCTCAACCGCTGAACCATGCCGTCAGGGCCCTAATAGCATATTGACTGTTCTTATATCTTTGATCTCACTCCACCTTCTCTTATTTGATGACTAGAGTCTAACAGGCTCCTGGATAGTCCCTATCCAGGACTGTTTTCCATTCATTCACCTAACAAATGCAGGGTGTGGCAAAAGTAGGTTTACAGTTGTATGTGAAACACAGAGTTTATTCTTGTATAATTTATTAATTGTTGTATTATTTTCCATACAAACAACTGTAAACCTACTTTTGCCCCACCCTTTATATATTTAGCAGGTCTAGATCACTGTGTGCATAGGGTACAAGGTCACAGACCCAAGACAAAAAAAAAAAAGGTTAAAGTTATACATTTTATAGTATGTATATTTTACCACATGTTCAAAAACTAAAAATATTTTTTAAAAGGTAACACAAATCTGCACATAACTGGACATTACTTATCATTCCTGCCAAGTCTGGGAAGCAGACTTTAATCAAACTAATATTTCTGCAGCAAACAGGTATTTTACACTAATGGGTTAAAGACTATAAATGGCCTCACTTCACTTCGGGCAACATTGTGCCACCAAATCAGTTAGTGGGAAATTTTTTTGTTTCCAGAGCCCTGTGGATTCCAGAAAGCATGGAAAGCATTATGGACTGTATCACATGATGAAACTACCCGATTTATTTATTCATGTTGGATTTTCAGTTTGTTCGTTGTATTTAAAGTCAATAGAATGTTTTCACGTCTCAAATGTTTTCAAAAGTTCCCTGAAAAATCTCAGGGTGCCAATGGAGAAAATGGACCTGGAGGCAGGCCTAGAACCCAGACTGGCACCCAGTATCCCAGCATCAATGCCTCTGTCCCAGAGGGTTAGGCTGAGGAATGGGAGAGATCTCCAGGGAAGATCAGAATGTGCTACTGGTCCCTCCTCCAGAGATGGCCTCTCTTCCACCTGGCTGTCCTGGAGTCCACTCGCCCGGGGGAAGGGGTGCTCTCTGATGCCTCCCGCAGGTATTAGACCTTTCCACTTCCGGGAGAAATGGTCCTGGCCCTGCCTGGGTGCTCTCAGACTCAGAGCTCACCCCGGGGAGGGTGAAGCAAGGAGACACCTGCAGGTGCTACGAAGAGGAAAACACCCCTTTTGAGTCCTGTGCCTTCTCACCCTCCCCAGCACTTTGGAGGAAAGGATCTAGTTTTCCTCAAAAACAGACCTGGTCCTTAAATGGCCCTTTCTCTTACTACAGGCTTTCACCGTCCTTCTGAGTGCTGCTACTCCTACATCGCACGAAAAATCCGATGCACATTGATGCAAAGTTATGTGTCAACGAGCAGTGGCTGTTCCAGGCCTGGAATCATGTAAGTACCAAGCGTACCGGCCATGTCTTGGGAGGGGGGACCTGACAACGGATGTATGTCCGGAGCAGCCCCACCCTCTGGATCCTGCAAGGCCAGGGGAAGTTTGTGCCCTCATTAGGATCCTGCAGAGCCTCAGATATGAGATGCTCCCCGTGAAGGGGGAGGCTAGGAAAGAAGGAGACAGCAGGAGCAAGGCCGTCCCAGGAAACTCCCATGAGTCACTAAGAGAGTCTCAGAGGCTGAGGGAGGGTCTCAGAGAGAAGACACCCTGAGCTCCTGCAGCAGAGGGAGGAAGGAACAAGCTGGGCTGAGTGGGGAGTCCGAGGGGCCGGGAGGATGAGGCTCCCCATCCTTAATTTGCAGAACCCTCCTCACCGTGTAATCTTTTCTCCCCCTGCATCCCCAGCTTCATCACCAAGAATAATCGGAAAGTCTGTGCCGACCCCACTGATGCGGGAGTTCAGGAGTGCATGGTGAACCTGACGCTGGGCTCAGACAAAAAGCCAACAATTTTGTTGGCAGAGAGATAGCAGGGGTCACCCACTCATCTCCATTCTCCTTACTTCACCTCCTGGGAGTTTCTTGGCCTGAATTATTTTTTCAAAAGCAACAATTACTGTTCTGTTCTGGTTACTAAAGCTATGTACTAATAAAAGGTATCCAATTTGACTTTACTAAATTTCTGAACTTTAGGAATTGCTGGACTTTGGAGTTGTGTTGTGTTTTTTTCCAAAATGAAACATCATAGTACAATTTTTAAAAATCTAAAAACATAACTCACTCAAATACAGATTGAATATGTCAGAGATGTACTTAACCCATTAATGAGGGAATCTGATTCTAATAAAACTGATTCTAATATCATCCGAGAAACAGATTTATGCAGTTAGTTGGGGGTGGGATTTTGGAATGTTGGTTAACTTAGAGAAAAACAGTAATATCCAATATTGTGACATAACTAACTTTTGGAATTATCTTTTCTCCTGGACATAAACCATTTGCTTCTATGCTGGACAAAAATCCACAAGTTAACATGTAATCTCACCAAGTCTGGGGCCTGATCAGTAGTAAACAGAAAATCAGAAGTTCATTCCCGCACTCACGTGAGGACTCTGGGTCAGCCTTTTAGACCAGGCTCCAATGTAGTCAAAAGGCGCGTGGTCATCCTGCTGCCTTCTTTCTGTTTGGCATGTTTTTTCTTAATAGAAATAACTTCCTAAAAGATGTCTTCTTTAAATTTAAAGGACATTAAGGAAAACATTTCAAGTTGAAGTCAGTATCAATTTTACATTCATACCTATTAAAGCCTATACACTTATATTTATAATTAGTAAATGTTGGTCAACTGTCTCATAAAACTCAGAAGAAAGCACTGAATTCTAAACAACAAAGCTTTTCTATTTAAAAAAAAGTTCAAAACCTATATGCAGACTTTTTGGGTGATTCACCAAAAGAAATCAATAGGGGAAAAACTGATTGATAACCAAATACTCTTTATAATAATAAACCACTATTTAAAAACAAAACAAAACACCCTGAGACAATGATTAAAACTGGAAATGACTGTCATGCCAAAGAGATAAAACACAAATTCACAGTATATCCCATTCTGCCTACTCAAATAACTCATCTTTGAAGGTTTGACTACAGTGTAGAAAGGTTTCTTTTCCTCCATCATTTGGGAGCGGAGGGATGGGTAGGAGAGGGGCAGGGAGAAGGGGTAAAGCACACGTGTACATACAATTGAAACAAGCATTCCAGGTGATTTTTCTGCAGGTGGTCCTAGGGCCTCACTTGGACACATCATTGTAGGAGGTGAGGGCGAACAGGCAGCCAGCTGGTGGACCGCTGAAGGGGAAGAGTGCCTTAGTGTACCTCAGCCTTCACGGGTGCCTTTCTTTCTTCCCCGCATAAGGGGAAATCCCTAGTTCCCTGACTGCAAGCGCAGATTCTGATTGCGGGGCCCTGGCTCTGATATTCGAGGAGGAAGGAGGGGTGTGGCCAGTCAGGCTTTCACTGAGACTATCAGAGAGCTTCATTTAGGGGGAAGAGAGGGTTGGGTCTTCTTATCTTTGACCAGAAGTTATCCAGAGTACTGCCCAACTCGCTGTCTGGCCCACTGTCCCCTCTGGAAGACTCCCAAAGCAGATACCCTCTTCTTTTCTATTTTTCTTTTTTTGTTAATCCTCACCTGAGTATATTTTTTTCCATTGCTCTTCAGAGAAAATGGAAGGGGGAGGGAGGGAGGGAGGGAGAGAGAGAGAGAGAGAGAAAGAGAGAAACATCGATGTGAGAGACACACATCGACTGGTTACCCCCCACATGCGCCCGGACCTGGGGCAGGAATCAAACCCGAAACCAAGGTACGTGCACTTGACCAGGAATTGAACCCACAATCCTTTGGCGCATGGGGCTGTGCTCTAACCACTGAGCTACACTGGCCAGGGTGCAGATATCCTCTCTATATAGAGCATTGTGCTTGTAGATTTATCCTGGGGCCAACCCTGCACCTGACGGTCCTGAAGTAGGGACTGGCAAGGTCCTGGCTTGTTCTCTCCACCTGAGCTGCTTCTCCCAACACCCACTGACTCTGATTTTTGTGTTACCCAGAGGCCTGTTGAGAAAATGCTTTTCCAATAATCTCTTCTTTCACCTAGATGAAGATATGTTTTTTCAGTCTCCTTGTATTTTGCCATCGAGCTGGCACATGTCCTTTATATATAAAACAGAAATTTCTTACCTTATGATCAGCTGATGTCATCTTTTCTGATCCCCTACTGCTACTATGAATCTATTTCTGTTTTCATATATAGGGTGTCCCCAAAAAATGTGTACACACACTTTGATTATAAAGACAATGTTTATTAAAATACATTTCATTTTCAAAATTGAGCTATCAGCTGTTAAAGTGTGTATACATTTTGGGGGAATACCGTGTATATTCTGTCATTTCAATGGCAATTGGGGAGGCGAAAGAGGCAAACACAGATGCTTGGGGTTCTGGCCTAAATTTTTACCCATTTGTGATCTTTCCTGTTGCTCTCTTTACTACACTATATTATGTTGAATTCCGAAGCTTGGAGATAAAATCAACCCACTGAGCTCTGGAATATATGACTGAGTGATGGCAACAGTAGCTTTTGGCTTCTCCAGTGCTTTTGTTTCAGAGTCTTGGGGAAAATGTTTAAGAATGTTGGATTAAGACTGTGCTGGACCTAAGAGGAATGTGTACGGTTTCATTGGTTCTCTGGCTGCTCAAGTTGTTAGCTCAGCAGAGTGAAATGGAGAACACAGGCTACCTAAGCAAGGATTTGGGTCATGACGATGGCAGCTGAACAGAAATGAAGGACGGGAACCAAGAATCTGGCAATCACAGGTCTTTGAGGTCCTGGAGAAGACAATGACGTTGTGACTAGGTCAATTGCGTAAGACTCACATACTCTCTTTCCACAGTTCCTCAAAAACAGCATTTTTTTTTTCTTTCTTGTTTTCTTTGGTGCTTCTGCCAGAAACACCCCTCCTCCCAACTCTTCCCAGCAAAACTCAACCCAACCTGCAAGGTTCGATTCAAGGGCAGCCATAAAACCTCCCCTCACTATCCCAGCCACAGCATCCATTCTCCCTTTCTCTGGAAGCCTAAAACATATTTACTGTTACTCAAACAGATAACTATTGAGTGACTCCTCTGTCATACACTGTAGGCATTGCAAAATCCATGAGAGAAAAACAAACTAGATTCCAGCCCTTCAAGAATATTTCAGTATATGAAGAAGACTGAAAATAGCAAGATATGACATCTGTGTCCAAGAATCATAGTTAATTCATCACTAAATCTCCAATTATGCAACACTGGGTTAAAATTATGAGGTTGTCTGTGCCCTAGCCAGGCTGGCTCAGTGGTTACAGCGTCAGCCAGCGGACTTAAGGGTCCAGGGTTCGATTCCAGCCAAGGTCATGTACCTCAGTTGCAGGCTTGATCCTGGCCCTGGGTCAGGGCACGTGCAGCAGGAAACCAATCAGTGTGTCTCTCTCTCCTTTCCACTCTCTGAAAAACAACAGAAAAAATATTCTCGGGAGAGGATTAAAAAAGAAAAAAATTATGAGGTTGTGTGTACTGAGGGCAACCAGCCTGGGGCTCAGGCCTCCCCAAGCCCCAGTCAGGCTGCCCAAGGGCCAAAGAGACCAAAATATTGAAGCACACCAGTTCGGAAGCTGTACTACAGGCATACCTCGGAGATACTGCAGGTTCAGTTTCAGACCACTGTTATACTGGTGGAGGGTCTTGCTTTCAATTTGTAATATAATGCAACATCTGTGAAATGCGATAAAGTGAAGCTCGCCCTCGCCGGTTGCTCAGTGGTTAGGGCTTCCCAAAGCCCGCGGACTGAAGGGTCCCAGGTTTGATTCCCACCAAGCGCATGTACCTCAGTTGCAGGCTCAATCTCAATTCCCGGCCCCAGCTGATGGGCAAGCAGGAGGCAACCAGTTGATGTGTCTCTCTCACATTGATGTTTCTGTTTCTCTCTCTCTCTCTCTCTCTCTCTCTCTCTCTCTCCCTCCCTTCCACTCTGAAAAGCAATGGAAAAAAAATATCCTCGGGTGAGGATTAAAAAAATAAGTGACGTGAAGCTCAATAAAATGAGGTGTGCCTGTGTAGACCAGGGCTTCTGAAACTTCAGTATGCATAAGAATCACCTGGAGGGCTTATTAAAAAAGATTGCTTGCTGGATCCCATGCCAGAAATCCAGATTCAGTAGGACTGGGTGGGGGCAAAGAGTCAGCATTTCTAACAAGTTCCCAGGTAATGCTGATGCTGCATGGTAAAGTGGACATTTGAAGAGGAACTCTCACTCTTAACTTCGTAACTTCAGTATTACTTGCAAGTTTTTTCTTTTCTTTTTTTTTTAACAAGGGGAGGGGATTTACTTTTTAGCAGCATTTCACAACTGCAGTCATGAAGCTCTCATGTTTCATGAATTAACATATAAGACAAACTCTGAACTATCCTACAGTATATTTTCTTCTAAAATAAAAAATAATATATATGACAAAAACCTAATAAATATACATATCATTGTAAAACAATCTGCTTTTAAGAAATTATGTGCCCAGCCTGGCCGGGCGTGACTCAGCGGTTAAGCGTCGACCTAGGATCCAGGCGATCAGAGTTCGATTCCCGGTCAGGGCACATGCCCGGGTTCCGGGTTGCAGCCAATCAATGACTCTCTCATCACTGATGTTTCTAGCTCTCTCTCTCCCTCTCCTTTCCTCTCTCTGAAATCAATAAAGATATATTTAAAAAAAAAAAAAAAGAAATTATGTGCCCATTCATGAGTGCCAGCAAGTGAGAAGGGAGGTCAGCTCCTGTTACTTGCAACTTTTATAAAAAGCACTGTCAGATGTGAGAACATAAGACCCTTCCCAAGCTTCACTGAAAATAAAAATGAACCTTACAAAACACCCTTCAGCCCCATACATTTTTATATATTTACATTTCATGCTCTGCTAAAATTTGCAGAAATGAAAGCT